AGCCAAATGGCTCGCTCACAACTTTCATGCCGGTAGCTCACAAAGCACCAGTAGCTCTTAAAATCTGCCTCCATTCCTGAGGACTGGAAGGTAGCAAATGTCACTCCCATCTTTAAAAAGGGTTCCAGAGGAGATCCGGGAAATTACAGGCCAGTCAGTCTGACGTCGATGCCCGGTAAGTTGGTGGAAACCGTTATTAAGGAAAGAATTAGTAGGCACATAGATGAACAAAACCTATTGAGGCAGACTCAACATGGGTTCTGTAAGGGAAGATCTTGTCTCACTAACCTGTTAATGTTCTTTGAGGGGGTGAACAAACATGTGGACAAGGGGGATCCAATAGATGTCGTTTACCTTGACTTCCAGAAAGCTTTTGATAAAGTTCATCATCAAAGGCTCCTAAGTAAGCTCAAAAATCATGGGATAAAAGGACAAGTCCTTTTATGGATCAAAAACTGGCTAATTAATAGAAAATTAGCTACCTTCCAGTCCTCAGGAATGGAGGCTGATTTTAAGGAGAGATTACATATTTTTGTCAGGAGATCCACAAGTTCACAATTGAGTTCTTTCAGAACTCTTGGATGTATGCCATCTGGGCCTGGTGATTTATCAGTTTTTAAGTTGTTTATCAGTTTTAGGACCTCCTCTCTCGTCACCTCAATCTGACTCAGGTCTTTCAACACCCCTCCCGAACTCAGCGGCTCTGGAGTGGGCAAGCACCTCTCATCTTCCACAGTGAAGACGGAGGCAAAAAATGCATTTAGCTTCTCAGCCATTTCCCTATCATCCTTCAGTACTCCTTTTACCCCTTGGTCATCCAAGGGCCCCACTGCCTCCCTGGCTGGTTTCCTGTTTCTAATGTATTTGAAGAAAGTTTTATTGTTGGTCTTTACATTTTTTGCTATATGCTCCTCATATTCCCTTTTTGCATGCCTGACCACAGACTTGCATTTTATTTGCCATAGCCTGTGTTCTGTTTTATCAGCCTCACTGTGACTAGCTTTCCACCGCTTAAAGGAATCCTTTTTACCTTTTACAGCTTCCATTACTTTGTTTGTTAACCATGTAGGCTTTTTCTTATACCTGTTTGTGCCTTTCCTAACCTGCGGAATATATTTTATTTGAGCTTCTAGAATTGTAGTTTTAAACAGTTTCCAAGCTTCCCCAATGGTTTTGACCCTTTCTACTTTTCCCTTCAGTTTCCTCCCCACATGTCCCCTCATATCAGAAAAATTACCCCTTTTAAAGTTAAAAGTGGTTGTGTGAGTCTTTTTGGCCAATTCCCTATTTGTACAAATGTTGAACTCAACAACATTATGATCACTGTTCCCAAGCGGTGCAATCACTTTTACATCTCTCACCAGGTCTTGAGTGTTACTTAGGACCAAATCAAGGATCGCCTCTCCCCTGGTAGGTTCCATGACCATCTGCTCCATAGCGCAGTCATTTAGAGTGTCTAGAAACTCAATCTCTTTCTCTCGACTAGAACACATATTGACCCAATCAATGTGTGGGTAGTTAAAATCACCTATTACGACACAGTGTTTTTGTCTAGCTGCTATCTTTAATTCATTCATCATTTTATAATCCTCCTCTATCTTTTGATCCGGTGGGCGATAACAAACTCCCAGTGTTAAGTTTCCTTTTGGCCCCCCTATTTCAACCCACAGAACTTCAAGAAGCGAATCCAATTCTCTTAGCCTCTCGATCTTTCTGGACTTTATACCCTCTCTGACATACAGAGCCACCCCACCTCCAACCCTTCCCCCCCTATCCTTCCGATATAATATATAACCGGGAATCACCGTATCCCACTGATTTTCCTCATCCCACCAAGTTTCAGAAATACCCACAATGTCTATTTTTCCCTCCGACACCAAGCACTCCAACTCCCCGATTTTACCTCAGACACTTCGAGCATTTGTATAGAAACAGCTGTAATTTCCCATACTGGTTAAGCCTGCCACCTTCCTCTTGCTATCTCGAGACCTTGTCAGGCAGTCCATGTCACTAGCCATGGTCTCAGTGGACAATCTCAATCCACCTCCCTGTAGAAAAGCAACAGGTACTCCCTCATCTCTCTGAGATGAGCCAACCCGAACCAGAGACTTTTCGTCTCCTATCGGCTTTCCCCCAATATTCAGTTTAAAAACTGCTCTGCCACCTTTTTGATTTTAAGCGCCAGCAGCCTGGTTCCTTCTCGGGACAAGTGGAGACCGTCTCGCCTATACAGCTCCCTCTTGTTCCAAAAAGAATCCCAGTGCCTAACAAACCCGAACCCTTCCCCCCTACACCATCGTCTCATCCACGCATTGAGACTCCTGATCTGTGCCTGTCTCTCCGGCCCTGCGCGTGGAACAGGTAGCACTTCTGAGAAGGCTACCTTGGAGGTCCTGGCCTTGAGTTTCCTGCCCAGCAGCCTAATTTTCTCCTCCAGGACCTCACGACTGCATTTCCCCACATCGTTGGTGCCGACATGCACCACGACCACTGTTCTTATGTTCTTAAGCAGATTTTTTGCTCACAAGACTCCACAGCTTAGAGGCTCACCATCACCTGCAGCCCTTTCCCCAGGGCCACCAGGCAGTGAGTGCAGCTAAACACATGAACCCACCTGAAGCTGCTTGACACTGAATCAGACTCTAGACTCATCACGGGCAGTATTGTCTACTCAGACTGGCAGCTGCTCTCTCTCCAGGGTCTCAGGCGGAGGTCTTTCCCATCCCCTCCAGCCTGGTCCTTGGAGACTGGGGATGCCGCTGGGGGTTGAACCGGGGACCTTCTGAATGCCAGGCAGAGACTCTTCCGTCGAACCACGGCCCCTCCCTAAGCACGACATGGTGGCTGAGGGGACTGTGGGCCTTCACGAAGTGACTGACTTCGGCCACCACCCCTGATATCACCACTCAGCCCTTCCTGCACAGACGAGGACCCCTCCCCTGCTTGGTACCTGTCAGCATCCCCTCGTTGATGATGCAGCTGCCATCCAGAAGGACGGCATCGCACGGCAGGGAGAGTTTCTGGCCTTCCAAGAGGATGACGTCTCCTGGCACCAAGGAAGAAGACGCCATCTGACGGCGACCTACAGAAAGACAAGACCAAGGGGTGAGATGCTCGGAAGGGAGTCCTGGAGGACTTCGGGGGGCTGCCGATACTGATGGGCCCAGACTGGCTCCTGGATGACTCTCCTACACAGAAGAGCACAAGCCGCATGAACTGAAATGAACCAGAAACCAGCAGTTTCCTCGCGAAAACTGACTGGGAGCAGAAAATGGGGTTAAATGGCTTGGAGCCACTTAAGGGGATGGTTTAAATGGCTTGGAGCCATTTAAACCCATGCTTTCTGCTCCTCACCACTCAGCTGTTTTTTGTGATGAGCAGAAAGCAGGGGTTTAACTGTCTCCAACCCATTTAACCCCCTGCTTTCTGCTCTTCATGAACTGCCACAAACTGCCCACAAACCGCTTTATAATTACTGGGAGTCCGTGGCAGTTCTTCAGTTTGCAAACCACAAACTGCCCAAAATTCATGAACTTTTGTTCGTGAGCCGGTTTGTGCTCATCCCCACTCTCTCACTCTTCCCTTAGGCTCAGTGTTCACTTGTAAGGAAAAGCAGATGGGGAAGACTCCGCCTCCAAGCCACAGTGAAACCAATGGGATCTGGCCCGCCCAGCCTCCTCACCCCCTGGGCTGTGTCTTCTCACACCCTGCAAAGCGCCAAATGAGAATGGATTTCTCGACTCTTCTAGATGGCCCAGCTGCAATCTCTGACAGACAGATCTCCGACACGAGGAGTCCCAGAGCTGAGGGTCAACCCCCTAAGGAGGCCTCTCCGTGGCGCCTTCCTCTGGTGGGCACTGCCAGGAAGGTGCCCTGATGCCCAGAGGATGCTCTGTGGTACGGAAGGCCCAAGCGCCAGAGAGGTTGGGTGGCAAAAACCAGCACCTTGACTCGCTTCTGGACTGCGGCCCTGCAGGACCTACGGTTGCCAGCCTCCAGGTGAGGCCTGGGGATCCCCTGGAATGACCACTGACCTCCAGAGTACCGGGACCAGTCCCCCTGGATAAACGGGCAGCTTCAGGGAGTGAACTCGGAGGCATCACATCCCTGCTGACCTCCCTCTCCAAATGCCACCCTCGAGTCTCCAGGCGTTTCCCAACCTGGAGTTGGCAACACTACAGACCAAGGAGCAACCGCCTGGTCCAGCATCCTCTTTCCAACAGCTGAGAGCACGCACACATCACACGCAAGCTGCCAAGCGGAGCCCCCAGACTCCTGCCCGCTCCACAAGGAGAGGCGGAATGCCCAGAGGCTCCATTCGGCTGCCAACAATAAGTGTTATCTCCCTAAATCTGCCCAGCTTCAGCCGCCGGGCCCGCACCACACACCTTCGTGTTTAACCCAGGCCGTCACTGGCACGTTGTTGTGTTCTTCCACCAGGTTGTGGAGCTTGATGGATTGCTGCGGATTGGAAAGCAGAAGGTTAAATGCCCGGAGGGTGCCTGGTGTTTCTACGCAGAGCCTGAATGGGGCGGAGGGGTGGAGGGGCACACTCCTGAGACCGGCTTGGCTTCGCTCTCTGGAAAGCCTCAGCTGCCACGGCCAAGCCCCCAAACAAAGGGAAGGGAAACTTAACCGGATTACCGTGGCCCCGCCTGCTCTTTCCTTGCCCCGGGCGGGCGGCAGAGGTGTGCCTGCAGGAGGGGAGGCTACCCCATGCAGAAGGAGCCAGACGATCCTGGGGGGAAAGCCCCTGGACAGGTGGGCTGCTTCCGTCCATGGGGGTTGCTCTACCTGGTTAGCCACCTCCCACACATATTTATTTCATCTATTTAAAACATTTACCAGCTGCCTTTCTTCCTCACGGAGGAGTTCAAGGCATCTTAAAAAGTAGATAAAACACATAAAGATCGAAATCTCAAACGACAGTCCAAGCCTGCCGGGAACTGATTCAAATGCGGTCCTAAATAAAACTACCTTCGGCTCCCTCCTAAAGATCAAAAGCGAGGGGGGGGTAGGCACACGCCCCTGGGGAGGCTGCTCCAGAATCGTGGGGCCACCACTGAAGAGGCCCCCTCTTTTTGCGCCCACCCAATGGGCTTCTTTGATCTGCAGGACGGCCAGGAGGGCCTCTCCCTGCAGTCATAATTCCCAGACAGGAACATGTGGGAGGAGATACTCCTTCTTCATGTGGATCTGACCACTGCTCCCTCTAAGCTGTGGAGTCTTCTTGTGAGCCAAAATCCTACTTTGTGAGCTCCTGGCATTAAAGTTGTGAGCAAGCGATTTGGCCGCTGCTTAAATTAGTTTGCTCTGGAGCCATCCCTTCCTGGGCTAAGACCAAAATGTGTGAGCTGGAGGCTCAAAAACTGGGAGCTAGCTCACACTCACTCAGCTTAGAGGGAACACTACCTCCAAAGCTCCTCCCCTGCACACCTGGGAGGTCTCTCAGGTGCTCCCAGACAAGAATCTTCGCTCTTCTACTGCAGATCAACATGGCTGCTCTCTGAAACAGACTCTTGGCAGGTTTTTTTTTGGGGGGGGGATACACCTGGGACCAATGTCCCCTCTAAGCTGAGGAGTCTTATGAGCAAAAAAATCTACTTTGTGAGCCACTGGCATTAAAGTTGTGAGCAATTGATTTGACTACTGCATGAATTAGTGTGCTCTGGAGCCATCCTTCCTGAGCGAAGGAAAAATCTGTGAGCTGGAGGCTAAAAAACTGTGAGCTAGCTCACACTAACTCAGCTTAGAGGGAACATTGCCTGGGACCCAAATGTTCTGGACTCTGGTGCAGAACTGACCCAGGCCCGACTCTGACCCCTCCAGCTCCCACCTGTTGGCCCCCAAAACTGTGATGTTTGTGCAGCCAGCAGCAAGACTGGGGGTCCAGCCCCATTCTCAATTACCCAGGGGATCAGCTCAGGAGCATGCGAGGTAACATGAAGGATGGAAGTGCTCCTGCGCACGTGCAGAAGTCCCTTCCGTGGCTAGTAAGTTCCTGCAGCCCTTGCTCGCCCCCTCCCTCTTTGGAGCAGCCCTGCTGCTGGGCCGGCCTCAGCGTATCCTCCGGTGAGCAGCAGCCAGGGCCCCTGGGCAGTGGGAGGAGGAGGAAGAAGAGGAGGAGGAGGAGGAAGAGGACCCTGGCTGCTGCCAAGGTCACACCAGCAGCTGCATGTGGAGGTGGAGTGGGGAATCAAACCCGGTTCCCCCAGATGAGAGACCGCGCTCCTAACCACAACACCAAACTTCTGAGGAGGCCAGGGAAGGACACACGAGCATGTGGGGGGCATGGAGGTGGGTGGGAGGGAAGGAGAGCAGGAGTGCCCGTGGGTGGGCACGTGAGGGCAGAGGGGCCCTGAGAACTGTCTGCCCAGCCCCCCCCCAAACCTAGAACTGGCCCTGCAGCCCTGCCCAGGTGAGCGAGGAAGGCCTCCAACTTGCTCTGCAGCCAAAGGCAGAGGCCGCCTCTGCACTTCCCCTTGCAGGGAGGAGAAAGAAGGCCAAAGGAGCAGCCCAGTTACCTGCCGCAGGTCGTAGGTGGTGAGGGCGATGGAGATGACGGAGAGGATGATGATGGCGACTGAGTATTCGATGTAGCCCTGGGAAATCCACAGTGTCAGGGTGAAGGCTTGGAAGACGTAGAAGGGGTTCAGGACCTAGGGAGACAAGGCGGAAGCCCCGCGGTCACCGGCAGGCCCAGGGCACCTGCACCCACAGGAGATGCTCATCCAACATGTCCTCTACTCCCACCTGATGAGCTGCAGACAACGCAGCCTCCAGGCTGGGGCACCTTCCCGATGAGGAAAGGCTGGGGAGCCTGGGACTTTTCCATTTAGAAAAGAGCAGGGGTCATTCCCTGCGGGAGCGCACAGGAGCAGAGCTCCGACAGTAAAGAGCCCAGGGGGCGGGCGCATGCAACAAGCCCCGCCCCCAGCTCCCAGCAGCCCTCAGTCAGAGCAAGAAGCCGCCAGGTAAGATACAGAGCCCCCCCCCCCAGTCCCCCGGTCCAAAACAGTCCAGTGGCACCCTTAAGACCAAGTTTTATTCAGGTACAAGCTCTCCCTCCTCTGCGAGGACAGATCTGCACGTCCCCCCCCCCCAGTAGCTAGCAATCCAAAACAGTCCAGTGGAGCCTGAGCGGTGGGTGTTGCCTTCTGACACCCTTCCGGTGAGGCCAGGGGGTGTGGCCTATGCAAATGAGTTATGCTAATGAGTTATGCTAATGAGCTCCTGCATCTCTTTTTCTGTGAAATGACCCCTGGAAAAGAGACTAAAAGAACCACTGGAGAAGAAGAGGTTGAGGGGGGACAGGATGGCTCTCTTGAAGTCTCTGAAGGGCCGTGTCACTTAGAGGAGGAGGGCTGGGAGCGGTTCCTGTGGGCAGCAGAGGAAGGTTTAAATGGAGGGAAGGTCCCGGCTGGGTCTTTGGGAAAACCCTTCTTCTGACAGTAAAAGGCTTGTGCAATAGTGGGATCGCCTGCCTGGGGAGATGGTGAGCTCCCCCTCCCTGGCAGTCTTTAAGCAGCGGCCGGACAAACACTTCTTCTTGCCAGGGATGCTGTAGGCCAGGGATCTCAAACATAAGGCCCGGGGGCCGGATCCAGCCCGTCCAGGGCTCTTACGCGGCCTGCGAGCAACCAATGCCAGGGAGGAAGTGCTGGGGGGGGGAGTGGGCGGAGCTTCTCCATCATGGCTTCAGCACGGCAGAACCGCCTCATCTGCAGCAGTCAAGCATCCAGGGAGCCTCTGCCCTCGCTGGCTGCACTGCTGCCTCTCCAGTCCGCCTGTGTGGGTCCTCCTCTGCACCCCCCTCCCAGCCTATGGGGCCTTGCAGTGAGGACACACCAACTTGGAGCTTACCAGCTGCTGTCCTGTATACAGTTTCTGTCTCTGGTACCCGGCATTACATTTTATGGCACACATGGCCGGCCCGACAAAGTCACATTTATGTCAGATCCTCGTAAGAAATGAGTTCGACACCCCTGCTCTAGGCTGATCCTGCGTTGAGGAAGGAGCTGGACTAGATGGCCTGCAGGGACCCTTTCAACTCTGTGTGATTCTGAGACTCTATGGCTGAGCAGGGACATGCTGGAGGTTTCCAGAATTATGCACGAGAATTATGCACGGGGTGGAGGGAATGGACGGAGAGAACTTTTTCCCCCTCTCCCCAAATACTAGAACTCACTGAGGGCATCCAGTGAAGCCGATGGGCAGTTGGCTCAGGATGGACAAAAGGAAATGCTACTTTACACTGTGATGGACTAGAACATGGAGTTCGCTGCCAGAGAATGCAGTGGTGGCTGCAGGAATACACGGCTTTCAAAGGGGATTAGATAGATTCACGGAAGAGAAGTCTATCAATGGCTCAGTAGCCACGGTGACCGAGGGGAACCTCCATGGTCAGAGGCAGTCTGAATCCCAGAGCCAGGGGGTGTCAGCAAGCTGCCATTCTGTTTTCTGTGACCTCTGTGTACATATCCTTTCCCTGTTACACCCGGCTTGGCTTCTATCATCCTGTTCCTGCTTTGGAATGCAAAAGATAACTGCTGGAGGTTGTGTGGGGGAGAAGATGCTGTAATGCTTGCCTATTGATTTTCCCAGGACTACTGCACCTGTGTTTTGTCTGATGTTCTGCCTGGTTCCCATGTACTGGGCGCGCAACCGTTTCCTTAGCCCGCCAGCGGGAAAGATATTCATTGGATCTGTATCTGTTTGAAGTTCCTTTATTATGCTTGACCTAACTGTGTATCCCCAGTTCTAACAAAGAACGTGTTTGAGTATGTCTTCAACGCTTTGAAATAAATTTTGCTTTTCTTTAAAACGTGGATTTATTCTCGATGCTTGGGGATCCAACATATTGTTAGAACTCCCTTTTCCTATCGTTCCGAATCTGACAAGATCATGAGCGGAATTGAGGGAAATCTACCTAACACGGAGGGGGACTCGGGATCGGTCCCACAAACCTCTGCGTCTTTGGTGTTCACGACTGCAGCCTCCATGGAGGGTGCCGTGGGGGGAACGATTCCCCGCCTGCCTGCACATCTGTCTTGGCCGCCTCCGACCCCTTCGCAATGGGGTCCGCGGAAGACTCACCAGCAGGATGATTGGACTATGTACAACACCCAAGGCACCCGTGAGGTGTACTCCCGTCGGGGGAGCGGATTACGTGAGAGTCTGTTTGACAAGGGATTGTTCCCGGAACCTGGGTCTACCTCGGAGAAGGGGAGCCCCAAGCAGGACCTCGAGGAGTGGATGTTCGAGCCGTCGGGACCGCGTGGTCACGCAGAAGATGAGGAGGGCACCGGAGCCTTCCAAACGGAAGAGGACTACGACCCACCCCCGGATTATCGCCCTCGGGACCCCATCCCGGAGGAAACTACCGGGGAACGTCTAGCAGAACTGGAAGACTCGGTGAGAGACTTAATGCGGGCATTCCAGGATGTGATGGAAGGCCTGCCGGGAATGTTGGACGTTAGAATGGCCAATTTCCTGGACGCACACGCCGCGCAGTTGCAAGTTGCTCCTGCACCGGGATTTCCCGCGCCGCCGATGCCTGCTCAGCCGCTGCAAGCACCGGGAGTTCCCGCGCAGCAGGTACCTGTCCAGCAGCCGGTGAGACCGCCTCCGCCAGTGCCTGCGCAGCCGCCGATGCCAGGGGGTCCGCCGGTGCCGGGTCTGCCGCCGCCGCTGAGGCCAATACCAGCAGGGCCACCGGTTGTACCGGGTTTCCCTCCCAGGGGAGCTCCGGGGCAGCTGGGCCCGTTGGTGAGGCCTCCACGACCCAGACCCAAGGATCTGCTGGAGGCTACCTTCGACGGCAACCCGGATGAACTCGCTTTCTTCACGGTGAGGGTGCATAAATTCGTAGAAGAGAGTCGACACCTGTTCCGAAATGAAGCTGGTCTCATTGATGTCATCTCGGCAAGACTGAAAGGAGACGCCGCCACATGGTATGTTGGACTGCACAACGACCGCGGTCCGGAACTTTTGAATTTGCGAGCATTCATGTGGGCGCTGAGGGCGAGATTCGAAGATGTCAACGCGAGTCAAAGAGCTAAAGCGTTCCTCCGGACCTACCGCCAGAACAAGAAGTCGGTTCGCGAGTACACTCTGGAATTCCACAAGCAAGCAGCTAAGCTCCGAGACTACCCTGATCATATATTGGCTGAGATGTATCGCTTGGGTCTCAACGCAGAAATCCGAGAAACGGTTCTGAAAACTGTCAACCCTGTCTCCCTGATGGCCTGGACCCAAGAAGCTGAAAATGCAGAAGACCGGCTCACCACCATCAAACTCGACCTGGCTGCTACGACCAACAGACCCGCCGCTGTCGGTGCCTCTAAACCCAAGACTCAACGCCTGTCGGAATCGGCAAGGGAACTACGGATGAAGATGGGGCTCTGTCTCAAGTGCGGGGAGAAGGGGCATTTCGCTGTGGATTGTGGCAGCCGTCAAGTCAAAGACAAGCCGCCTACCCCAAGCCCGAAGACACCGCTGTCGGGGAAGAAGGGGATGGCTAAACCGCGTTTCTCCAAAGCTCTGCAGGCAGCCCAAGGTTCGGGGGAAAATGAACCGGCTGCCGCCGAGTCCGAAGAAGAGCTGGTGGCTGAAACGGCGGAAAACGACAACGGCCTGTTGTGAGAGGCGCAAAACGACAAGGCCATTCTAATGCTGCGCCCAAGGTGGTGAGAGAAACCCCTTCCCTATTTTTCGTGACTGTCTCCTTAATGAATCCGCTCCTAGGAACCCACGTTAGGGTAAGAGCGTTGATTGATTCTGGGTGTGGGAGGGATCTCATCAGCCCTAGAGTGTTAGTTGCACTGGAAGCGGGGATAGTCCCCTTGAAGTCCCCCATCATTTTTACTCAGATGGATGGGGCACCCATGGAACCTTGTACGCACGAGACTATGGCTTTGCGGTTGGGGGCGGGAGATCATTGGGAATCCAGGTCCTTCATTGTCACCCCTAAATCGCAGTTCGACTTAGTACTGGGGAGTCCCTGGTTGTTTACCCATGACCCTTACATCTTGTGGGAAGAAGGGGTTGTCAAATTTGTGTCGGCTAAGTGTGTGGATCACTGCTGGGTGGATTCGTGGGGGGACCAGCCGACCACACAGTTCCCCTGCGGCACTTTGCAACCGGAAGAGTTAGCTTCTTTGCCTCGAGAGTATAGAGACTTGGCAAAGGTGTTTGGCGAAGAGGAAGCTAACGAATTGCCCCCTCATCGCTCGACTGACTGTGCTATTGAACTTTTGCCTGACTGTAAATTACCCAAAGGTAAAATTTATGCGATGGGGCCGGCTGAAAAAGTCGAACTGCGGAACTTTATTGATAAAAACCTAGCCCGAGGTTTCATTCGCCCGGCTTCCTCCCCTTTCGCCGCGCCTGTACTTTTCCGAAAGAAGAAGGACGGGGGGCTTAGGTTGTGCACTGACTATAGGGGTTTGAACGCTGTTTCTTTGTCCAATGCTTACCCCCTCCCATTAATTAAGGACTTGGTAGCTGAGGCCACCAAGGGCAAGATCTTCTCGAAACTTGACCTCCGGGATGCATATTTCCGTGTGCGCATCCGGGAGGGGGATGAAAGTAAGACTGCATTTAATACCCCTTTGGGGCAGTTTGAGTACCTCGTTATGCCCTTCGGCCTTCAAGGGGCTCCGGGGGTCTTCATGAACCTAATCAATGAGGTCCTACATGAGTTTCTATTCAAAGGAGTGGTCCTTTACCTTGATGATGTGTTGCTGTACTCTCAGGACCTCCAGTCGCATATTAAATTGGTGCGCCAGGTCCTTAAGCGACTTTATGAACACCACTTGTTTGCTAAGCTGTCAAAATGTGAATTCCACAAGACATGCATTGACTTTTTGGGATACCGCATCTCTGGGGGGAAGGTTGAAATGGACCCTGCTAAAATTCAGGCTGTACTTGACTGGGAGCCCCCCAGGACCCGCAAACAATTGCAAATGTTCCTCGGATTTGCCAATTTTTACAGAAATTTCATCCAGAATTTCGCGCAAATTGCCCTTCCCCTGACTGAGTTGCTAAAGACCAAAGGGAAGGGTTTTGATGCTACGAAACCGGGCGCCCCGCTTAAATGGTCCCCTGCTTGCGCAGAGGCTTTTGAGAAACTTAAACTGATGTTCACCTCCGAGCCGGTGCTGGCGCGCCCTGATGAATCTAAGAAGTTTATTGTCCAAACTGATGCCTCGGATGTGGCTATGGGGGCCGCTATTTTGCAAGAAGGGGAAGATGGTCGGTTACATCCCCTGGCATTTGTGTCTAAAAAGTTTTCTGATGCCGAACGAAACTGGGGGATTTGGGAAAAGGAGGCGTCAGCGATCCGGCTGGCTCTCTCCACTTGGAGGCAGTGGCTGGAGGGGGCGCAACTGCCGTTTGAAGTCTGGACTGATCATAAGAATCTGGAGATGCTGAAATCCCCCCGTTCTCTCAACGCTAAGCAACTTCGTTGGGCGGACTTCTTCGCTAAGTTTCGATTCACACTTCGTCATTTCCCGGGGGCGGCTAATTCCCTGGCTGACGCGCTCTCGCGCCTCCCACAACATGACAGTCAGCGTGAGATCATCATGGACTCTGTTTTTTCCCCCTCCCATCTGGGGGGGGCCGTAGTCACCCGGGCGCAGGCGCGAACGATTCCACACTCTGATGAGACTTCGCCTTCCCTGTTCCCTGTGGGAGGGGGGGCCTGGGTCCAGAAATATCTTTCTGCTTTTACTGCTGAGGATGATGCCTCCCTTAAGACATTACCTGATTGTGTCCGTAGCCCTGAAGGTCTGATTTATTCTGGAGACAAATTGTATGTGCCTATTTCGATGAGGAGGGAGGTGATGGAGTCTGCTCACGGTTCGAAACTGGCAGGGCATTGGAGTTTCGTTAAATCTTTGCAACTCATCCGCAGGCAATTCTGGTGGCCACAAATGCGCAAAGACCTCTTGATGTTTGTTAGGTCCTGCCAAACCTGTGCCTTAACTAAACCCAGGATGGGCAAGCCTCCTGGTTTACTGCAGCCACTTCCTACTCCGTCGAGACCATGGGAAGTGGTGTCCATGGATTTTATTACTGACCTCCCTGCGAGCAAAGGGAACACTGTTATTTGGGTGGTTGTTGATTTGTTTTCTAAGCAAGCTCATTTTGTGCCTTTTCCTTCCTTGCCTACAGCTCAGAGGTTGGCGAAATCGTTTATGTCCCACGTGGTGAAAATTCATCAATTACCTGCTAAGTTAATTTCTGACAGGGGGACCCAATTTGTTTCTAAATTTTGGAGGGAACTTCTTTCCATTTTAGGGGTCGAACAAGGGCTCAGCAGCGCGTATCATCCCGAAACTGACGGACAAACGGAAAGGGTTAATCAGACTCTGGAACAATACCTGCGTTGTTTTACTAATTATCAACAGAATGATTGGTGTGAATTATTGCCTCTTGCTGAATATTGTTATAACAATACGGTCCATAGCTCCACAGGCATGTCTCCTTATAAAGCTGTATCTGGTTACGACAGTCCCCCCCTCCCTTTCTTGGAGGGGATGGGCCAACGTCCTGTGGGGGATGCTGATACATGGTGTATGTCCTTGCAAAAAGCATGGCCGCTGCTATGCCAAACACTTGACGCAGCCAAGGCTGCTTACAAGACCCAGGCAGACAAGGGTAGGGTGGTGGGGTTTGATCTGAAACCTGGGGATCTTGTGTATGTCTCGACCAAGAACATTAAGATGCTGCGGCCTAGCAGAAAATTGGGATGGAAGTTCATTGGTCCGTTCAAAGTGCGTAAAGTCATAAATGATGTGGCAGTTGATGTTGTTTTGCCTAAGAATTTACGTGCCTTGCATTCTGTCTTTCACATGAGTCTATTGAAGAAGGATCCTGGACCGTCTCCTTGGAGACCAGAGACTACTCCTCCTCCGCCTGTCATATTGGAAGGGGATGAACATTTTGAAATAGCTGATATCCTTGATTGTAAAGTGAAACGTGGTAAACTCTGGTACCTTATCGAATGGGTTGATTTCGGTCCCCAGCACCGCGAATGGGTGGAAGAAGGGGATATTCGGGCCCCTTACCTGATCCGTAGTTTCCACAGAAGGTTCCCGGACAAACCGGGAGGTCTCCCGCCCAGCCCGAGATGTGTTGTAAGCAGGCCGGGAGGTGTGTTGTAAGTGTATTTTAAGGGGGGCAGTATGTCAGCAAGCTGCCATTCTGTTTTCTGTGACCTCTGTGTACATATCCTTTCCCTGTTACACCCGGCTTGGCTTCTATCATCCTGTTCCTGCTTTGGAATGCAAAAGATAACTGCTGGAGGTTGTGTGGGGGAGAAGATGCTGTAATGCTTGCCTATTGATTTTCCCAGGACTACTGCACCTGTGTTTTGTCTGATGTTCTGCCTGGTTCTCATGTACTGGGCGCGCAACCGTTTCCTTAGCCCGCCAGCGGGAAAGATATTCATTGGATCTGTATCTGTTTGAAGTTCCTTTATTATGCTTGACCTAACTGTGTATCCCCAGTTCTAACAAAGAACGTGTTTGAGTATGTCTTCAACGCTTTGAAATAAATTTTGCTTTTCTTTAAAACGTGGATTTATTCTCGATGCTTGGGGATCCAACAGGGGGCAACATCAGGGGAAGGTCTCGGCCTCTCTGTGCCCCATTGCCTGGTTTAGGAAGCTAACATCTGCATTCGGGCACTGTAGGAAATCAGGGTTTCTTTATTGCCCACCTGAAAGACCCCGAAAGTGGGCAAACTGTGGTTAGCCCCAGCCAGAATTCTACCCCGAGACCTGGCTGAAAATCCACCGTATCACCTGGCTGGTATTTCTAGCTGGGCTTTGTACTCCCATAGTGCGCTCACAGTAGCCTCACACAACCAGAGAGACAACAACAGCACTCGCTAGCAAGATCCAAGGACCCCTGGGGGCCCGGATAGTCTGTGTGTTTGTCCTTGTGGCTGCATTTCCTCATACGCTGCCACACCCCTCCCTCCCTTTCTCCTCTGGCAAACCACTGATCATCAGCTCCTGGTTCGACTGCCCTTACCTGTGCAAATAAATAGACACCAATGACATTTTGTAAGCAAATAAAGGCCCCTCCCCGCCAAGAGCTCAAGGGGAGCCAGGACCCGCCATCCCCACGGACTCTCTGGCCCCAAGCTGGCCAACACGGCAACCTTCATCCCCGAAAGCCGAGCCAAACCCAGGGGGTGGAAGGGGCTCGGGGGGTGGGGCACGACAGCAAACCTTTTCAGCCTTTCCCCCGAAGCACGGGCAAACGGAGGCTGCGGGCCGGAAAGGCCCTTTTGTGACGATGTCTGTCGGTTACCTCTTTAAAAAGCAGTTTCCAGATGGGGCAGATTTCCACTTCAATGGCGTTAGGCCCACAAACTAACTTCCTGCCAGAAGAGAGAGAGAGAAAGAGGAGGAGGAGAGGAGATTAGAATATCTGGGCTGTCAGAAGTCCAATCCGACAGGCCTTGCTGGGGGCACCCCTGGGGAAAGAGCCCCGGCCCCCACGCTGGTCTCATTCCTGACAACCGAACCGGCCCCAACTTTGCATTGCTGTGACCCACGAAAGAGCTGGAACCGGGAGAGGGAACACTGTATACTTTGGGGAAGAAAGAGATACGTGTGTATTTCATGAAGACCTGTGCTCTCCTTTTTGTAAACAAGTATTTTGAAAAGGCCTGCCTGGGACACCACTGGGACAGACATTCCTCAGGCACGGGTTCTCCTACAAGAGAGGTTTAAGCAGGGGATTAGCCGAGCCGGCCTCCTTTGAGCGGGGGGGTGGGGGGTGGGGTGGCTCCCACATTGGGCAGACTGCGCCTCCTGGGGGGGGCGTGTGCCACAGAGGGGGGAAAGCAAGACTGTGAGGCTCAGAAGAGGGTGACTGGTGATGCCAGGCAAGGGGGGAGAAGTGTTTCCGACACCCCCTGACTGCCACCCTTGGGTTCAGAGGAGACCTCCCTGGGAGGGGGAAGTGCCCCGCTCTCTGAGTGGCAGAATCGGACATCGAGATGCTCTGGCCCCCGGAGGTTCCTCCATCTCTAAGCCCTGCAGAAGTCCCCCATCCAAGGCTTCCTTGGTTCATCTTTCCACTACCGGGGGAGGTGTTGTTGCTGTTGGGGGAGGTGGGGAGAGAAAGACCCTCAGACGTTGGACGCCACCTACAGAGTCTGGGACTGAGGTGAGATTTGAACCGGAGACCTCATATTCTGAAGGCTTTCATTAGTGGACCCTCCAGACAGAAGCAACGGAGGGCTGAGAAGGCATGCCAACCTCCAGGTGGGACTTGGGGATCCCCCAGAATGACAGCTCATCGCCAGACTACAGATATCAGTCCCCCTGGAGAAGGTGGACTCTCCCCCTTGGGAGGGTGGACTCTCTGTGGCATTGCACTATGCTGAGGTCCCTGTCCTCCCCAGGCTCCATCTCCAAATCTCCAAGGGTTCCCCCACCTGGATCTGGCATCCCTAGCTCTGAGGCAGCATCTGGCTAGACTGGGGGCATACCGGAAATCCTGCTCTTGCGTGGTCAGCCCATCGGCAAACTTGTGATGGATTTCATAACACGTGTTGCTGTCCTCCAGTGACCTAGGAAAGAGGAAATCCAAGGCAGATGGAACGACAAGCAGAGAACTTTTGTTACCCAGAGCTTCCCACCAGCAAGTCATAAGAACATCAGAAGAGCCCTGCTGGATCAGACCAGTAATGGTCCATCTAGCCCAGCCTCCTGTCTCCCACAGTGGCCAACCAGTTCCTCCGGAGGGCCAACAACAGGGCACAGAGGCCAAGGCCTTCATAAGAACATCAGAAGAGCCCTGCTGGATCAGACCAGTAATGGTCTATCTAGTCCAGCCTCCTGTCTCACACAGTGGCCAAACCAGTTCCTCTGGAGGGCCAACAACAGGGCACAGAGATCGAGGCCCTCATAAGAACATCAGAAGAACCCTGCTGTGTCAGACCAGTAATGGTCCATCTAGTCCAGCCTCCCGTCTCCCACAGTGGCCAGCCAGTTCCTCTTGAGTTCCAACAACAGGGCATAGAGGCCGAGGCCTTCCCCTGAAGTTGCCTCCTGGCTCTGGGATTCAGAGGTTGACTGCCTCTGGATGTGGAGATTTTAGAAGATGGACATTAAAACTCACCCAATTCTCTGGAACTGTTTTGCAGAGACGTCCCATACATAGCGGATTTTTTGTACCCGGATGTACCTCACCTGCACGAAAGAGTTGCAGGACAACCATCAGGAATCACCAGATTGAACCCCTGGCTGCTACTAAATTCCTCCCCAGCTCTGCCGACGGGATGAGGACTTGTGGGCATCGGTGGTGGCTCTCTGGGCTCAGGGAATCCCCTTCTGCTCTGCTAGGCCTGACCTGGGCCCTCTGTGCCTCAGCAAAGGAGGGGGTTGCCCCTCCACGCCCCTCCATTTGGTCATGCAGATACAGTGAGGAACTGACCCCCCACCCCCACAGAACAGACTGTGGACGATTCCCACCGTGCCCAGGGGCCCAAAGGGCACCACATACACACAAGCTACGACTCTTCCAAAAGCTCTCCCTGCTGGCCCCGAGGAGGACAAAGAGGTCTCCCAAGGCCCATTGACCCAAGAGGTCCTAACTAAGGATACCATTAATGGCCCCACCCACCCCCCAAGGACCTGGAGAACTTTGATTCTACAAAGGTTAGCAGAGTGGAATCCTGGGGGAATTGAATGGTTGGGGGGTAGGAAGTGCCCACCCCTAACCTCAGGAAGAGGTACTGTGAGATGCAGCCTTCCTCCTCCACTGTGGAATGAGGCAAAGGAGTCCTCTCTTGACCCCATGGTTTGCATCTAGCCCCACAAGTGGTACTTACTTTCAAATGCGGCTTCATTACGGCTTTGGAGATGACACATTCCTTGTCAGCGCCAAAGACATGACTCAGTTTGTCTCTGTCCAAAAGTTTCGACAAGTCGATCCAGATCACCTTCTTCCTTGTGTACCTCTGAAATACATCCTGAGGGAGGGGAAAGTTCACATTCTTGGGATGCAGATCTGACAAACAGTCCCCTTCTGTGTTAAGGACCTCCTTGAATCAGGTTTAAGGAAAGCACAGACCAAGCAGGCTTTCTTCCAAAAAGACAACTTAGAAATAATGTAAGAACTATATTAAATGTAATAGAATATTTTTTTTTGTCAAAAGACTTTTTATTTTCCATTATTATCACATTTTACATCTTTTTATCAATTGATTAAATGATCCCATTTCCCTCCCTCCCCCGAAAGGCTTCCCGCAATGCATTTCCCTCATGTCCCACATAGATAAATTCAGGATAACATCAAATACTTAATATTGTTCTAAACATAGTAAATTTTGTCTCACGTCCCAGTTCTTTTCTAAATATATCTTAAAGTCCTTCCATTCTTCAAAAAATTCTTGGTCTTCTTTATTGTTCAGTTTTTTGGTTATTTTGTCCATCTCAGCCATGAACAGAACTTTTTGTATCCATTCTTCCAGATCTGGTATTTTTTCTTGCTTCCAATATTGGGCGTATATCATTCTTGCCGTTGTTATCAAATACCAGAACAATGTCTTTTTTGTTACATTCAGTTCTTCCATTTTTAAACCTAAGAGCAGAATTTCAGGCGTTTTCTTAAAAGAACATTTTAGAATCTTTTGCATTTCGCTGTGGACCTTTGTCCAAAAGTCCCTAG